GCACCAACAACGGCGAAAGGAACCTTGGACATGATCTCGTTGTTCTCCGCGATGGTCTCCTCGTCATCGAGCTCGTATCGGGGGCCCTCGAAGATCTGGATTCCGTGGTACTTGATGTCGGCCAAGATCTGCGCGTGGTTAGCGTTTGATGTCTAAAATAGTGACAGGCAACTTACTCTGGCCTTGAAGTTGGCAATCTCCTCATCGGTGAGGGTATCGGCCTTGGCAATGACGGGGATCAGGTTGACCTTGGTGTGCAGGCGTCGCATCACCTCAATGTCAAGAGGCTTCAGGGAGTGGCCAGTGGGCTGGATGAAGAAAACACAGGCGTGAATTCGGTTGTCAACAATGTTCATGCGGTTGACCTTGTTCTCGGCATCGAGGTACGAGTCGAATCGCTGCTCAATGTTGTCGACAATGGGGCGCCACGACTCGTCGTTGTTCACAAAGTCGCCGAATCCAGGGGTATCGACAACAGTGAGGCGAAGACGAACACCGGCCTCCTCAATGTCGGCGCTAATGGACTGGATGGTGACGGTCTTGGGAATGATGTCGAGGCTAGGGCCCTTGCGCTCCTTGGGAGGGTAGAGCGAGGTGTTGAAGAGGGTGTTAACCAGAGTAGACTTGCCCAGGCCGGACTCGCCTAGTACTGTTAGCAGACTCCTATAAGATGGCCGTCGTTTAACTTACCAACCACCATCACGTTAAAGTTGAAGCCCTTTCGGACACTCTTGCGGTGCCACTGGTTGGGCAGGTTGGCGAAACCAACGTATCCAGTGAGCTTTCTTCGGACAATGTTCCGGTTGTCAGCAGCGGGAGGCGGCTGAGAGGGAACTGTGCATGGTTAGTGGAAAGCTAGATAGAAGTCGGGATGTAACTTACCATTAGGGGGCGAGGCTGAAGGGGCCAGAGCCGGGGATTCGCTGCCGGGAGAAGCTATTAATAGAGTGTTAGCAGGTGACGAGGAAAATTTATGTATAAATATTCTAGCAGATGCAGAGGCAAGAGGAGTCCTGACTCGATGAATCTGCTGCGCTTTGTTGGCCACTTGCGAGGATCAATCTGGCGATCTTCTTGGTGCCGAGTCTCGAGGGTCTGGGCTGATTCCAATCGGGCGATTGGGTAGGATCGACGTATAGCTCGTCAAAGCTCATGGGATTCATCGGGCTCAATGTCGGAGGTTCCTCTGCTTCGACCTCAGGCATGCTGCGATATTGGATGGCTGTACGGCTGGAATCAGGAGATGGGGGTTGGTTCTCTTGTCCCACCGGAAGGCTGCTCGCTCTCTTGGAATCATTGGACGTTTTCGCACTCGACTCGACAGGGGATGTAGAGGTCAACGAAAATGTGCCCTTGTCGAAATGCACACTCCGGGTGCGTGCCTTGACGTGTTGGATCAGGTCAAAGGTCATGGCTGATCCAGGGGTTGCAGTGAAGAGCTGATTTTCAACGAGGAATGCTTCGAGACCAAAAAGGGGCTAAGAAGAGGACCCAAGAAACCGTAGATGGCGGAAGAACGAATGTCGTCGCGTTATCGAGAAGCGATGGTGATGATGAGAGAAGCCGGTCCAGCTCCAGAGCAAGTTGTCCTCGTGGCCAAGAGGGGGCAGCTCCTTCCTCCTCTCCTCTGCCTCTGCTGGCTGCCATGTGGCGTGGTCTGCGCACGCGAAAAAGAAAGAAGCATCTTACCCATAGTGATGTATCAAGAACGATCGATGAAAAGGGACTCGTGGGAAAGTACGGGTTCTAGAGGTTGAGGTTAGCTACGTCAGGGGAAAGGCCAGCTATACGAGCTCGGTCGGTTCGTAGGGAGACGACGAGAGAAAGGGCCGCGGTCAACACAGATGCCGCTCAGGCTACAGGCGCATCCGCCGAGGAGTTGTCGAAGCGAATCTGAGTCTATTGAGGGCGCGCTTTCTCGAGTCGTGGGAGTGTCGGGGCAGGCAGGGAGAGTCGAGAGGTGGAACGAGGACAGCAACTCACCCGGAATTAATTACCAGGAGACGCGTGTCAATGGGCGTCGCAAGTCGGCAAGACGAAGGATTAGAAGGAAGGCCTCAAAGTGTCGACACGGAACCTGCTCTCACGCGCGATGGAAGGCGATCGAGAGAAAGTACTTAGCAATGATGAGGAACGGAACGGGGGTAAAAGAGAGTCGAGGAGAAGAAGGGAAATTTTGGGTGCGAGCGACAGGCGGAACAAGGAGACGAAATTCTGATGTGCTGTTCTCCCCCAGCAGAAGCGTCCTTGGGCAGAAGCGTGCTGGCCTGGTCCTGCAACAAAAGGGGTTTCTGACACTATGCCTTAAGAGGTTTAGCGTCTCAGGGGGCGGGCTCCCAAATCCCAAGGCCCAGGGGCAAGCTCTGGAGAATTAGCGGGCAGGGCTGCTGGAAGGTCGCTGGACGGCCACTATCGGTCCACGCTCCTGATTGGTTGCTGGGGGTACGGGTCCAATTAACGGCCTTGACAGGGGTTAAATGGCATTGTGCTGGAGCTCTCCCTCCCCCAATCTCCCAGCCTCCAAGCTTGAAGCAAATTACCCGTACTTGGTGAGACGTAGTAATAAGGCTCTGGGCTGCAGTCTCTGAGTCTTGGATCGTTTCGCTGTTGATCTTGTTTTGCCGTTCGTGGAGTCCCTTTAATGGAGCTCACAACCCAGTGTCATTAGGAGCTCCCCCTAGGCTCCGAGCTTAAGCTTGGTTCCAAAAGGGGAACGGCAGTCCAGCCTGGTCGCGTCGCATGGATGGGACGACGCGCCAAGGGATTCGGCATCTCGAGACGACCATCTTTAAGGAGGTTACAGTTCTCCTATCTCTGCGCAGGTTAATGCATTCTCTTAATGTGATGCGGTGGCACGAACAATCTCAGCCATGATGGTCTCAACTACCGCCATTCCTCACACAACACGGCACAGGAAGGCAAGACATCAAGGAGCTTAGCCAAGCACCCTTGACGAGTGGTCTGAAGCACACAACAAGACATGTCCGCTGCTTGACTTGAAATTTGATCACCAGCAAATAGTCGGTCTGTGTTGGGGTATGCAACTCCTTTCTTCTCAGAGTTGCGAGGCAGTTGGCGTCAGAAGCTCCAACCTGCAGCTCCAGAGCTCTATCAATACTGAGTCAGTCATATCAAGTATCAACAATGACATGCTCGTCTTCAAATGTGCCAAACTACTCTCCTGTCTTCTCTGACCGTCACATCGTCCAAACGCTGTCAAGTGGCGCGCCTCGGCCGCTCCCACGTCTGTGCTAGAGCCCGTCCATCCCTCGTTTATTCCCCGTCAAACATCAAACACAGCCAACTTCCCGTCCGTCAAGTTGTTTCCCTTCCCATGGTGGGTCTTGGGCCCCGGCCCAGCCCGGCTCCGCCAAGGTGCCACTCGACCGCCTCTCGATACCATCCATCCACGTCACTCGACATGAGCCAACCCCGTCTCACTTACAGTAGGTAATACGTGGTCGACGCATGTATCGCTGTGGCTGTTCGTCCGCCTCGATTTAAATACTGCAAATTCTCAGCCAAATACACAGCAAAAATGGCCAACTTTGAGAGCCTATCTAAAGCGCGTCCTCGGAAACACTTTTCTCCAGCCGAGAAAGACGCCAGAAAGATGAAACTCCTCGAAGGATGATACCGAAGGTTCAGCAAAACTTAGAAAATAATAAGTAAGAGATTCCCATGATACTTTATATTTTTATGGTAGTTTTCCATTGCCTTTATGTTGATTTTCTACCATGCAAACCAGAATGTGGCCACTGGAACGCTGAGTGCCCTTGTTGTAAGTGCTAGATGTATAGGGTAACCAAATCATCATCAACCACCTCAACGATAGAAGACTACATGTAACTGGCTTTACGATTAGCCTCTTGGCTGATCTAGTGGTACATCGCGTGGGATGGGGACAGAATCCTAGTTTCGTGATACTTGCGGGTTGTTTGAACGACGATCACAACCCAATTCTTACACCATCAACATCGATATCCTGTTACATCATTCTTTTCGTGTCAAGCATTCGATCTTGTCTGCCCTGAGCTCCCGTCCCTGGACCCAGCTTTACACAAACATTCGATCTTGCTTGCTCTCTAGCCTGTCTCGCCGTCGTCATCTGGCCCCATTATCCCTACCCGACTCTACCCCTTCCCGTACCCAATGGCTACCTGGAGTTAACCAAGTAGACTTCAAAACACGTTCCCATTCCCCTATCTATTGCTGTCGACCTGTTGCTTGAGTGCCTGGAGTATATTGACATCATTGACAGGTCGCTTCTCTTGGTATTTTTTGAAGCACTTCTTTCCTTCATCATGTTTCTTTTGATCTGACTTTCTCTCTTCTTCAGACCCAACAGTTTGACCTTGTGGACCGGACCCTGGACCAAACCGCCGTCTCTCCAAGGGATAACACAACCAATGGGGAGCCCTAGGCACCATCTTGGATGTCGGGATGGCAAGTTCAGGTTCACTCTCGCACAAAACTAAATGTCAAGGGCCCGTCACATACATGCGTTGTAACAAGGTCAGCCAGTGTCGGGACCAAAAAGAAGAAGAGAAACATTAAAGAAGACGGCTGATGGCCTGGAAGACGCGGTCTAGGCCACAGTGGCTGACGGCACTGCTCTTGACCGGAGTAGCCTGGGGACTTGCCATCTCGAACATCAGCAGGCGGTTGGTCCCTCTTCCAAAGATGCGTGGGAGTACCTGAACGCCGTAAGACGCCCAATGCCGGACGGGCCATTTGTACATACCCCCCGCCGACGCAAGGCTTCGAGAATAGTCCTCTGAATACATGATTTTGTTGATCTTCATGTTATCTGATCTTGATCAAGATCATTCACGTGAACAGGAGAAAAAAAATACGTACTGTATCTAAGAAAAGGATGAAAGTGGGGCATGATGCGTGGTGGCGGGCGGGCTGCCGTTGGGCCCCACAAGGCTAGTCCAGAATTGGAAAGAACACCATATCAAGCAAATCTGAAATCTCGAAACGCATCCCAACTTCAAGACAAGATGTCCGAGTGGTCTAAGGAGATAGACTTGAAACAACTAGAGATCTATTGGCTTCGGCCGCGTAGGTTCGAACCCTACTCTTGTCGTCTCAAACGGAGTTCTGTGGAATTTTCCAGAATTTTTCTTTTTGGAATACGTTTTTGCTCGCCACCGCGCGAAATCAGGCCCCCATTGTGATATTTTGACTGTGACCTACTTCAATTCAACCGTAGGAATAAGTTTCGCCAAGTGGCAGAAGCGCTCCTGATACCCTCCGGCCGCTAGACAGCGAAATGTGTCTCCAGGATGCTGCTTGGACATGGATGAAAAGGAAGTGTAAATCCTTCCATTGAAGCTTCATCCTGGCAAGTACGGAGAGTTCAGTGCTTGCTCGATGAAGATCTCAGATGGTGGACGATTATCTTGGTTGAAGCTTGCTCAATGATGGTCAACGCTGCGCCGACTGGGGTCGCCAATTTTAGTCGGTGGCTGGGAACGTTAGGGGACTAATGCCGATTGTTTTTTATTACGCAAAAATCCCGCTTGAATTTCCTAGAATTGCAATTCGTTCATGCTCACAAGTGTTCTCATAACTACCTGCCAGCAGTGTCACAGGGAACAGGGAGTTGCTCTATGACACACCACCACCAAGGGAGACCATACTGCCGTAATACATCGAGAATAGTAGATCTGTATCTCTCCTTCATTCTCCTCCGTCCCTGTTTCGTCGTGTAATACACCCCCCTGCCCTGAGGACATGAAGGTGGATATCGAGGTCGTCCATCACCAAATTCGGAATAGACAACGTGGCCGAGTGGTTAAGGCGATGCCCTGCTATCCTGTATATCTAGGCATTGTGTTCGCACGCGTAGGTTCGAATCCTGCCGTTGTCGATCCTATTTTTGCTCTTTCGGTTGCCTTTTTGTTGGTGAACTCGGTCTCCTCACAGCGTGGTGTTCGTGGTTCATCTGGCTATCACTTGCTCTTTTGTCGCTGCCCCAGGCGAAAATCCTGATTGCTCTAGGCTTACCATGCTGGCCTGCTATCCAGCAGCCTCATGTCTTTGAAAATTCCTATTCCTTTGCAGGTCTGGCACATTTCGTGACCTGCGCGGCCCGGATAACAACTTTGTTCCTTGTTTTGGGCTGAGGAAGTAAGGTCCGGGCCGTGTGGGGCCGTGTGGGGCCGCACCGTTGAACAAGAATCCCACGACAGCAAAAGAAATAGCACATCATGGTCTAAGTATAGTCATAAAGCTATAGTATATAGGGGACTTCTAGATCTTGATATGGATCTTGGGCATATTAGGCATTTTCCGCAAGCACGGGCACTCCGCCGATGCCTGCTGGCATCACGGCGTGATTCGTGTGGTGGCAGCTGGCGGAACGCAGGCCCCCGGCGCCATCTTGGATACTAGGATTGTAGGTTCAGGCCTCATGCCCAACCGCATCAATACCTACCTAGCTAGCGTCAGTTTTCTGCAGTGAGAACCAACTGGCGCTGGGGTGAAAAATAAGAAGAAGAGAAAGCCCAAGAGGACTCCTGTTGGGGGAAACAACCAGAGGGTGGCTGATGCTACCGAGGCAGCTGTTGAAGCTACTGTGGCTGAGAGCATAGCTCTCGGATGTCCTTTTTTCTGTTCCTCGCCACAAGCAAAGAAGTAGTTCGGGCCGGTACTCTTTCCAGTGTGAATCGACCAGTTGGGCTTTCGATATTGACTTGTGCCTCCTTTCCTACTTATCTCCTTGCTTGCGCGCGGACTGCAGATTTAGGCCAATTATGATAAGTCTCTTCTTATACTGACTATAAATAAGATAAGAGATTAACCTAGTCTTATATTATTGTTACAAAGCTTTAGATGGTGCTCTTGTTGAACACAATAAACCACTGTGCCAACGGTAAAAGTGAAAGATACCTTTCAACAGGTACCGAGGCCAACCGGGTCTTATTGCTGCACGGCAGCTCTAGTCGTGGGGATGAATACGCTTTGGCAGTCCCCGCGCAGGCAAGGAGATCATGTTGTGAACACATGCTTTATGCTTCACCGTTCGATCCGGATTGGCTTGATATGGAGAATTTACCAATTCTGGACATGTAGTGACATAAAATGATCACAAGAGCATCACAAGTTTTAGACCGAACCACGAGAAGATGCGAACATGCCAAGCTGCAGAGTGAAGCGAAGAGTTGCCATCGGCGTATCTATACAGACCCAACCACTCTTGACCCGTAAACTACCTGACCTGCCCTGAAAGACTACACTTTTGATTACACATAAACGCTCGCGCTCCCGAGCTATAATACAGTGTCATGCCAAACTACTCATAAACATTACTTGGGTGTATCCCCCCTAGACAAGACCAGCCTGCTGGCTCGCAAAGAATCGCTTCGACTCAGCGCACCTCTCGCTCTTGCAACCAGGGCATCGGAGGCCCATCTGAGCCGAGCAAGCCTGGTTCCCGGCAAGATGTGCCTTGGCAATGTCGGCCAGAGCCTGGATGAACACGGGGCTGCCGTTCAGCGATTCTACTCGCTTGACGGTATCCCGGTGGCCACTCTCGCCAATCACTTCCTCGTCCAGCTCGTAAAGAGTCTCGATGTGGTCTGATGTGAAGGCGATCGGGATAAGAACAAGGTCCGTCTGACCCTTGGCAATATACTCCTCCACACTGTCCGAGGTCTGAGGTCCCAGCCAGGCGGATGGTCCAACCTGAGACTGCCAGCATAGTCGGTATGGGTTCGAGAACTTGAGGCGCTGCATGACAGCATAGACGGTGGCCGCGACCTCACCGGGGTAAGGATCACCTGATGTCATGTTAGGTCCGTTCATATTTCCGGGGGAGAGCACAAACCTCTGTTGACAACAGACATGGGAAGACTGTGTGCAGAGAAGAGTAAGACAACGTCCTTGCGACGCTCCTCGGGATACTCTGCCAGCTTCGCCTCAATGTTCTGCGCAAACGCCTCCACGAGACCACTGTGGACTGGCCAGCGGTCGATGACACTCCATGTAATGCTTCCGTCACCAGACTCCTTGTTGGTCTTACCCTCGAGCCTGTGCCTCCACTTCCAGAGTTCGTTCAAGCTGCTGCCCGTTGTCGAGCAAGAGTACTGGGGGTATTGGGTGAATGCGACGGCCCTGCCGCCACGGCCATTGCCAAACCCGTCCTTCAGCAGCTGAGTGTACATCTCCTCTGTCAGAGGATCCGCATATCGGAAAGCGACATAAGGCTTATGGGGGGCGGTCTCGGGGGAGATCTTGTCCAAGATCTTGCACATCTCGGAGCTCTGGTACTCGGACCACTTTCGAATGGGAGATCCTCCGCCGATGGCTTGGTATTGCTTCTGGATCTTGGGGGTTCGTCGATTGGAGATGAGAGGGCCAAGGTAGTTTTGTAACCGACCGAGGGGGATCAGGTCACCGTCAGCCTGTGGCAAGTTAGCATCTCCGAGGGGTTCCGGGACGTCGGTGATACTTACAAAGAGACGACTGAGAAAGTCACCGACTTCATCGATAGTAGAAGGACCTCCCATGTTGAGAAAGACCATGGCGGTCGGGCCCTTGGAGCCTGTGGCATCTTGTGTGACGGGAGGGACTGGGGTGGCTAGATATCGCTTCTGGCTGGCGATCTGAGGGAGCGCAAGACGATGGGAGCTGACCTGGGAGATGCCCTTGTAGAGCTGGCCCCCTGAGCGTCGTAGAGCCATTGTTGGTGAATAGACTGAAATGTGAAGTACAAAAGGAGAGAAGAGAACGGCCGAACGTCAATTGGAAGTGGTGTGAGGGTTGGTAATGAGAAACAGCTGAGGGGCGCAAGAATTATTATGTATGGCAGCTAGGGCGGCGATGATGCACGCATTTCCACGGCCTCCGGGATCGCCAGCAGCGCATCTTATCGGAATTTTCACCGACGGGAGATGTTGGGCGCTAGTAGGAACCTTGGCCACTGCGGAAAGTCCGAGGCGACACATGTACCTCTCAACAACACATTCCCCGCCAATCATGAAGATGGTAATCAATGCCCAGACTCACGTGATCTCGCGACAGGCAGCATCGCGCCCCCCTGTTACAGAGGTCGCGTTTGCCTAGAGCTATGGCCCGCAGGATGAGATCACTCAGCTCTTTATTAAGTTCCAGCTGACGCGCAATGAGAACCATCATTTTGCCATAACGCACACATACGCATCAACAATGGCAGACAAGCAAGATTGGCGTCGAGAAGATGAAGATGAGGGGGAGCAGGAGATTGATGAGAACGTGAGTATCAAGGCTCTTACTCTCCTACACCATGTTGATCCACTTTTAGAGTTACAAGGCGCAAAAGGATGCCATCTTGCTCGCGATAGATGTGAGCAAGTCAATGCTTGAGCCACCGCCACATTCGGACTCGAAAAAGGCAGACCGGGATAGTCCCGTACAGGCGGCGTTGAAATGCGCCTACCATTTCATGGAGCAGCGCATCATCTCCAATCCCAAGGACATGATGGGCATTCTCCTATTCGGCACTGAAAAGTCCAAGTTTCAGGACTCGGGTGACGGTCGTAGTGGACTTGGTTATCCTCATTGTTACTTGTTCACTGATCTTGACGTCCCCGCGGCAGAGGATGTCAAGGCCCTGAAGGCTCTGGTTGAAGAGGGGGAAGATGAGGATGAAGTGTTGACCCCTGCAGAGGAGCCTGCCAGCATGGCCAATGTGCTCTTCTGCGCCAACCAGATTTTCACAACAAAGGCCGCAAACTTTGGAAGTCGTCGATTGTTCATAGTGACTGACAATGACGACCCCCATGCGTCTGACAAGCAGGCAAGATCAGCTGCAGCTGTCCGCGCAAAGGATCTGTATGATCTTGGTATCATCATTGATCTCTTCCCTATCACTCGAGGGGATGAGACTTTTGACCTGAACAAGTTTTATGATGTAAGACTCACCCTCAAACACATGACCAAATCGGCTAACAAACAAAGGATATCATCTACCGTGACCCAGTTGGTGAAGCCAACATGTCCGAGATTCGCACTTCCAAGTCTGGAGACGGACTTACTCTGCTCAACTCGCTCATTTCGAATGTGAATTCGAAGCAAACCGCGAAACGGGCACTCTTCTCAAAC